ACTAGCGTCATAGAACCGGGGAACCGGGCGTCTTCGACGCTTCAAATTTTGAGAATGTGTATCCTTCCGACCTAATTTTATATATCTCGGGAACCACAAAAGTAGGTACCATGATTTTGGTGTCATTTTGCTTCTCTAAGTGTCCCTAGGTTATATCTAAGTCCGATAAGGTTTTGGTTTTCTCTACATTATAGCGTTTTGCAAATTGTCTAGTGAAATTTTTGATATGTCTGACGAACATCTTGAAGTTTAAATGTTGTATTGTTTCTCGAGACATATCCCTTCATTTGAGCCCAAATTAGTTCAATGGGGTAAAGTTCATAGTGATAAGGTGGTAACCGAAACACTTTGATTCATGTTCTTTTCGTATTTCATCTACAATAGACTTTTTAAATTTTGATAAATGTTGTTTACATAACTGAAATAGCTCTTTTTTGAGTAATAGCTCTTCTGCCACTATTTCTTTGGTTATTAGCCAATAGGAGAGTTGTAAATAAAACGAATGCACTTTTCATTGGATCAGTTGTTTCATAATACCGTCTACTATTTGAATGGGTTTTCTCCCAGTTGACGTTTTAGGTGCTACTGTAATACTTCCATCCTTTTGTTGCTTCAAAAGTCTATAAATGGTAGCTTTTTCAACTACGGTCATATTTAAATACTTAGAAACTATACTCCGAACAGTACTATTAAAATGTTTATATACAAGAGCGTCATGTATATTTAACACTAAAGTTTTCATTTGCACGATTAAATTGCACTTTAATTTCACAGGAGTATAATTAGACGTTTGTGCCGTTTTTATTGCATAAATTCACTTGATCAATATCGCTTATAGCCTAATATTATAGAACTAACGATTCTGCGTGTTACAATCATAGGACTATACAAACAGAAATGTAAATCTGAACTAAAATAACTTACAATCTGCATAATACATTCTGCTGGTTAGAAATTTTAATCTTTTCTAAGAAAGTTGATGGCTACTTAAATTGATCTTGAATTGAAAATATTTTCTACCTGTAGAGATTACATACCTTATTTTTAAGTGTAAGGGGTTAAAGAAAAGGTCCTTTATTTCTCACAAGTCAGTTGTTGATTAAAATGACTAGAAAATTTAAGGCAAGAATTTAAATAAATTGGTATTTTTAAACATTTTGTTTTAGAAATTCTCCGTAACTGATTTATGATGTTATATTGGGGTTTATGTCTTGGGTCATAAAAAATGTTACTACCATTCATTTTCAAATAAACTGTAGAATTTAATTATTAATATAGGAAGCCCTAATACATACTTCTTTTAAAATAACAAAAACTATACATATAGCCAGTTCACACGAATTTAATTTTTAGTAGTATTCAAATAAAATTGAAAAAACAAATAAAATTAACATACACATGTACTTGTTCTAATTTCAGTAGACAATCTCTATCTATAAATAGTTGTAGTTTGTGCAACAAGAGTGGATATGATGGCCATATCGCACGAAGAGGAAGTTAGAGCACTTTGCCTACAGTGTCGTGCGTCAACCGTCTGATTGCGATATGAACAATCCACTCGAGCTGTAAAGTATATTTTTTCTACGGCCCACGGAGGAAAATCTACAATTTTAAAAAAATATTTTAGGTTATTAAGACAAAGTAACTTATTTATTTATGACTTTTACTAATTTATAAAATAAGATACATAAAATGAAAAATAGATTTAATATAATTTGTTTCCATCCGAGATTTTAACTCGGACCTTTCGCATGAAAGGCAAGTACATTAATCTCACCACCATCTATACACCTAATATTTTTGCTTTAATACTAGTAATTAAATTGACTTCATGTAGTTTTATTTAAATTAACAAATTATTTATAATTATAGACAAAATAAAAATTGAAATGCTATTATTTATCGATTCCACACAAGAATAACTCATTTTAATGTATATTTAATCTCAATAACTAAAAAATATACTAACTAATAATTAGTTTGACAGAATTGTCACTTATTTAAAATTTTTAAAATAATAGCAGTCGGTTGGCCAAAATATGGAATGTGACTGGTGGTTTTCATTTTTTTTGCAGTGTTCTCACTACCTAGAATGGATATGAAATATATTCGTTCAGTTGAACGCAATAGCATACTTTTTCGTTCTGTAGTCTGGGCGTAGATAAACTAATATCCATGTGGGTATAGAAAATAGCAAATATCCATCTGGGTGTAGAAAAATACTTGTTATTTTCGCACAATCAATCTTTGTTTAGATTGTGTTGTTAGCGAAACGATGCGATTTTTTGTTTTCAAAATATTCCTATACAGTCGTATATTTTTTATTCTTCTTAGTTTCGTTAACGATAAATAAAATAAATCAAAATTGTTAAATTAATTTTGTGTAATTAAAGTGTAATTTAAAAATATTAAGAAGCTAAAACATTAATATTTCATAATCTTAATAATATTAATATTTAGAAATGCTGGAAATATACCTATATGTAATAAGTACACAGTCACCACGGATGTCAAATATATAGGTGAATGGAATGGAGTATAAATGCAATTTGACTGTATTAGGTGTTTAATTGCTTCTATTGTTTTTCCGAATTAAGTTTCCAAATCGCCATGTATCCTTGTTTACTCGCTATGTAAACGTTGTAGACACGTGTGAGTCCATCAAGTTTTAATTAATAAATTAATTAAATTAAGAAAGGCTAAACCTCTCACGTTCTCTTCGACTTTAATCTGTACTGGAGATTCTTATCAAATAATTGGTTCGGAGAAAGAATCAACAAAGAAAATAAATTCGGGTTACATGTTAGTTTATATTAAAAGTGAAAGAAAATTCAAAAAAACATGAGATCCTCTTTTTAGTAAAATCATCATGAAATTATAATTTTACCAGAAAATCGTTTATTAAACATACAATTGCAGTGTCCGCCAAAAAGTCTGCACTATTAGAATAACTTTTTTCAGATTCTTGTCTAAAACCGAAATTAAAATTTACCATATACGGGATTGGTTCGAAAACAAAGATAAGATTTAAGTAGATAACCTTATTTTTACACTATCGAAAATTGTTATTAAGAAAAGTGGTTTGGAATTAAAAATTATATTTCAATATGCAGTGACAGTCAGTCATCTATCCTCTGAATAATTTTGGCGACAAATAACTAGCCAGAAGTAAATAGTTCACTAAGCGTAGATCGTCTAAAAACTAAGATAGATTACTAATCGTCCTCCATGTTTTATTAAATTTTGACTGCACTAGAAGATGCTTGTGCTTAAATTATAGAAAATAAAAATATGAGAAACCAAGGAAAATTTGTATTTATAATAAATTTTAGAAATCTCGTTTTATCTACTATAAGTTAACATTTTACTTTATTATTTGCGATAAGTAAAATTTTCTAACAGTGATTTTCCTTTACAATATTAGTTTCATGCAGCTCTGTGGCCGTTGGAACGATACTAAAAAAATAGCTGGAACAGGGATATTTTCATTCGCATCGCAAAATGATCAAAGCGTATTGTCGGAATACCCAGAGAATTATCATGATACAAAATTGGAAGCGTACCTACATAAAAGGTTTTGCATGTTAGTTCATATTAGTTCATATTTAGGGTGTATATAAATATACTACACTCAGCAAACCTATAATGGGGAAAACATGGCTTCGTTTCAAAAAAAGTAATATAAAAGTGTTTCGTAAAAGTTAAAGAAGAAAATATTTATATTAAACTATTGTGATATAGTCTGTAAAGAAAAGAAGTATTTACTACAGTTTCCTCTTTCCTTTGTTATGTAAAAGCTGAAAATTTATTTATAAGTAATACCTACATTTTATTTATATTCTTATCTATTGACATTTTAACTGAAATATTACTTCAAAATTAATTTTTAAAATAAAGCGATAATAGTACATTAGATACGTTATACCCTAAATATACTTGAAATTTTACTTTTTGCGGTATAGTACAGGATCCGAAGTAAGGTCGACCTTCACCCATCTGTTTAACGGATGAAAAGTATTTTAAATGATATGTAATATATTAAGTAATATATCGCGAATAGGTCCAGGATATAAATAATTAATTTTTTTTTTAAACATTGCACTTGTTTGTTTAATAGACATATTACATACCCACGAGACGCTTCCGAAAAAAAATCGGCGTCAAATTAAGAATTCCCCTTTAGCTTTTCGGCAGTCTTCCATTTTGTAATTCTCCAGTGGTATAATATATGTCCTTCGGCCTCATGAATCCGCAAAACCTCTATGTTTCTGTTTCTGAAGTACACCTCCACATCCGACCTTTTATCCATCGGATATCCTTAACCCAAGTGTTTATTAGGTTCCCTTATCACCAGCACGTCTATTTCTTTTTCCTATGCAAAAGCGTATGCCACACTGTGGCTTTGCTTCTTTTTTGAATTTGTCTGTGACGGTCGTATTTGGCGCCCGACCGTGGCTTGGATTAGACGCGATTTTTTTTACTCTTTTATCACCTCCCTCTCTCCACAAATCACACCTTAAAATTCTTTAATTAATTCTTACTTACCACCCAAATTAAGACTCATGAAGCGTCTAAATAATGTACCAAATATAGATGTTCTATGTTAAACAGTTGTAGAGATATAAATTTCTATTGAAATTTAAGGCTTTACTTTGGACTTTCTTAGGGATACAACTAGGTTAAATCATAATATTTTGGAGTACCCTATGTCAGTATTTATGTAAAAATTCCTCTATTATCACGTTTCTGCTGTGATTTTAATAGAAGTATGATGAAAGTATCACCTGTATTTTTATTTACCTACTTATACATTCCATTTGTGTTCGTGTTTGTAGACGATTTTTTTGTTTCTATATAACCATTTGAAAAGAAACTTTCTAACAATGTATTCGAAAACTTTTAAATTTATCCTCGAACTGTGTTTCGTAATTGCCATTCAACGGTCTAATTACCGAATATACTGGTATGTACTTCTATTAAAACTTTTTTTTTTGTTTCAGCTACCTTATTCGACTCTGTTATTATTTTGATTCGATAATGGAAATGGAACTACTTCAGCACTACTTCGATTGTGTTCAGCAATTCGCCATGTTGTTGTACTGTACGAACTTCAGCATAAACTTTTTACTTTATACGATGTGCGGGAAAGCTTTTCGAATTTGTTTACGAACATTCTTTTATAATATATTTCATAAAGTGGCATGTTTTGAGGGAGGAAGTGTGTCGAATACAAATTGTTAGTTGGTAAAAATGTATTTGAATTTTTGTGTTAGTGATTAAAAGTATTGATGTCAATAATGTTTTAGTACGTATCTTAATGTTATTGTATTAATTTGTCAGTTGATAAATTTTTAGGTATTTTTAAATCGTGTTTTTCTAATAATGAATTTAACCCAGATTTTTTTATCTAAAAGAAACTTTAGGAAATAATGTCATGTATTATATAAAAAAATATAGTGTTTCATTTAAAATTTTCTATAAAAAAACCTTCCGAAATTATGAATATTCAATAATGTTTTGTAAGCACCCTATATACATAAAATGGTAACGATTTCACGTCACACAATTTACATACGTATTTCATTTCCCTATAGTCTATCTCTATAGTGACAAATAGAATCATGAAAATTCAAAAATTTTGTTTAATTAATATTTTTACTTTCGAACGGTGCTGGCAATTAAATCAAAATTTAACCGTAAACAAATAGTCACCATATACTTCTTAAAATGTCAAAATATATAGAACCATGTCTTTGAGAAAAAAAAGGATGTAATCATCCTAAATAGTTGAATACCTATAATTGTATAATATAACGCGGCCTACTCATTATACCCAGTTTTAGCAAAAAGAAACACTTATGGAATCACCTCGATGTTTTTCCGTCCGTCCGTTCGTCATAGGCGTTTTTCTTAGTGACGTGTTTGATGTACACAATTGAAAGGACCCGAACTTTTTAGTGTTTTCCATTCAAAATGTCCAAAGATATTGGGCGCGTTCAGCAGACGCAACTGTTGAGTATGGTGACTTGTTGAGTCTTCTGAACGTCACTTGTTGAGTTTTGGTTAGTTTCAACCGTTGATAAATTAGTTAATTTGTTAAATGCTCAAATTTGATAAGTACAATTTTGCGGTAAACTTTTTTTGGCACATAAATAATGTTATTTTTTTAATACATCGGCACTTAGAAAATTCTATGGTGACTTTTGTAAACGAAGTATTGTACTCAGTGTTGTAAACTAAAGAAACTTTTAATTTAGAGATTTCTAGTGTTTTTTATAGATTTTTAACCACTCTAGGAGGATAAAGCTGATTATATGTGATTATAACCTCACTTTGTTTAACTTTGAAAATGAATTTAGTTGTTTTTTAAATTCTAAAGTTAAACCATGATGAAAAATGTCGGTTATGACTGATTATGACTTGGTATATTGTTACATAATCTTAATTTGTAACCGAAAATGATTTTATTTATATCACCACTAGAGGTCACCACGTGTATGTGTATTGTCTAACCGCTGAACCAACTTATGCCGTTCTGGTACTTTTAATTAGGCATTCCAAACAAATGCATTGCCAGTGGGAAGGTTTGGTATATCTAAGGGTGGCGACATACGGTGTATTCTATCTACTTTACGTAAAATCATGAATAATGGATTACATTTAAATATTTTATGTCAAACACAATAAAAATAATATTTAAAAAACCTACCTATACATTTCTTCATAAATTGGCAGGCTTGGCGACTACTACTTCGAATAAAAATAGCATCCAAGTTGCAAGACTATGTCGCTACCCCCTTAGATATAAAAGAAAATAAAAACTTGCGTGAAATGACATTCCGGTGACAATCTCCGGCGAGACGCCACCTTTTTGGGCTTTCGCTGGCGATCCACTATGCATACGGCTGTATAAGATTTTTAAAGAAGTTCATCAATAATAAACGTTTGGTACCTGATATGTCCTTTAAACCACATAATAAAACATGTCCTGGGTTTAGTAAATACATATTTCTAGATGTTCTTGTAGCAACCAATAGGTCAATATTTCCAACAAATTAGTTCATACTACACATGAAAAATATTACATTTATAACGAAAGCACGAAAACTAAACTTAAATTGTGTGTGTGTGTGTGTGTGTGTGTGTGTGTGTGTGTGTGCGTTCGTGCGTGTGTAAGTGCATGTGTGTGGGTGTGGGTGCGTGTGTGTGTGGGTGTGGGTGCGTGTGTGTGTGTGCGTGTGTGCGTGTGTGTGTGTGTGCGTGTGTGCGTGTGTGCGTGTGTGTGTGTGGGTGTGTGTGTGTGTGTGTGTGTGTGGGTGTGGGTGCGTGTGTGTGTGTGTGTGCGTGCGTGCGTTCGTGCGTGTGTAAGTGCATGTGTGTGGGTGTGGGTGCGTGTGTGTGTGGGTGTGGGTGTGTGTGTGGGTGTGTGTGTGTGTGTGTGAGTGTGTGTGTGTGTGTGTGTGTGTGTGTGTGTGTGTGTGTGTGTGTGTGTGTGTGTGTGTGTGTGTGTGTGTGTGTGTGTGTGTGTGTGTGTGTGTGTGTGTGTGTGTGTGTGTGTGTGTGTGTGTGTGTGTGTGTGTGTGTGTGTGTGTGTGTGTGTGTGTGTGTGTGTGTGTGTGTGTGTGTGTGTGTGTGTGTGTGTGTGTGTGTGTGTGTGTGTGTGTGTGTGTGTGTGTGTGTGTGTGTGTGTGTGTGTGTGTGTGTGTGTGTGTGTGTGTGTGTGTGTGTGTGTGTGTGTGTGTGTGTGTGTGTGTGTGTGTGTGTGTGTGTGTGTGTGTGTGTGTGTGTGTGTGTGTGTGTGTGTGTGTGTGTGTGTGTGTGTGTGTGTGTGTGTGTGTGTGTGTGTGTGTGTGTGTGTGTGTGTGTGTGTGTGTGTGTGTGTGTGTGTGTGTGTGTGTGTGTGTGTGTGTGTGTGTGTGTGTGTGTGTGTGTGTGTGTGTGTGTGTGTGTGTGTGTGTGTGTGTGTGTGTGTGTGTGTGTGTGTGTGTGTGTGTGTGTGTGTGTGTGTGTGTGTGTGTGTCGCATAACTCATGAACCGATACACAGAAAAACACCAAATTTTAAACTTAAGCTTTGTTCTAGCGTCCAATGAGCTGATTAGATTTTGGACAGAGACGGAACATCTGGGGGAGTACTTTATAGGTGGTAATTTTTATATTTTATGGAATATATCTCTTATTTACGTTTGAGCAAGAAAATTCTTTAAATAAAAAATACTTATATTATTATCTATAATTTTTGTTTTATACATAATTTCTCTAAAATGGACCGTATTCGAGATATTTGAGAAAATGTGTAAATTTCGAAATTTGAAGAAAACTTAAAAACGGATAAAGAAAAAAACATTAAATTTTAAACTTAAGTTTTATTTCGGCCTGACGTGATATGATTAATTTTGGACAAAGTCGGAACATCTGGGGGGTACTTTATGGGAGACCGTTCTTATATTTTATGGAGTATATCTGTTATTAATGTTTGTAAAAAAAAATTGTTCAAATAAAAGTTACTTCTAATATTATTATCTATAATTTTTGTTGTATGTAAAAATTTCCTGAAATGGTCCGTATTCGAGAAATTTGACAAAATGTGCAAAATTCTGATTTTTATGAAAATTTTTGAAATAAAAGTTGTTTGCGATATCGATCTCTATAATTTTTGTTTATACATGATTTTTCTAAAATGGACTAATGGAAAAATTGTAGGAAAAGTGCTAATTTTAAATTTTTTAGTATTTTCGTTTTCAATGAATATCTATAGAAAAATGTTTCGAGGTAGATGTATGTGGAAAATGTATATATTTAGTTTATCCTCTAAACATTTATAGAGGTGCTGCAATAGGTTGTATAAAATAACCGGAAAAAGCCTGTAATAACTAGATAGGAAAGTCATGTATTGGACACATCAGATTTTTAGTATCATAAATAAACTTTACCAGTGGCGTTCGGCATGGATAAGTAACACCTTCATCACCTCTAAATTTTACGCCACTGTACAAAAACTTATTTAAACTATAATTTTAAATTATTTGATATTTTTTAAATACTCTTGTTGGGAACTCATAAAGTGATTGGTTATCGAGAAATTCACACTTAAAGGTAGAAATTCTTCATTTTAATTTATTTTTCAAATTTGTTATTACTAATAATACGGCACACATCAAATCCTATAACGAACCATGCAAATTAATTAAAAATGCACCCACAAAATTGCCTATAAATAAACATGAGCGCGTGAGATAACTACGCTACCGAGCCGATGAAGTGTCACACTTTAAAATACGTAAAAGATTTTTATCGAGCTAGAGGGCGCTAGAATAAAAAGTAACACAATGAATATATTATTGCCGAATTTTCAATAAAATTACCTTTTTAATAATGTATTATCCTAGGTACTTTCCCTATTTAAATTGTAGGGGTTGTTCACCCCACTGCTCGAGGGTTGAAGTGCCGATGCTGCAATTATAAAAAAATTTCCTCCTTCAAACTAAAATGGACCTGATTTAGCATTTTCTTAATTTCCAATGAATTCGGCAAAATAATAGGGTGGACTAACAACTACTTGCGCCATTACAACTTGAACAAATTTGAGGGTGCAAAAGACTAACTTTTACAACTTGAAAAAGCACACATTTAAATTCATATACATATGAAATTCCTCAACAATTTGAACAGTTTAATAACTCTGAGAAGCTATTTAATATCTGACATAAATCTTTACTTTGGCCCGTAATAACACTCATACTAAACCACGGAATGTATCGGTTTTTGAAAGTTATTATTCTCCCTTGACATTAAATTTCTAGAATTCCTCTTCGTCGAAAATTCAGAAAGCCTCAATAGCGGGCGGGTAGTTTTCGTATATACCTACTACGAGCCCTAACAACTATATGTTGGAACAAGCAAGTAGTTAAAATTAAAATAGTTTTAATATAAATTTATAATTCATTTTGGCATAAATCGTGAAGAGACAATTAGTTATATTTGCAGTGTCTTCTGACATACTAGAAAGAACAAATTTACTTTTTGTAATGTATTGCAATTAATTTAAATATTTGATATTCGAGAAGGTTGACAACTAAATATTAGAACACAAATTAATAAGACGTAACATTCCCTTTTGCCCAAATAATTGCCTATCAGGCAGGCATAGTATCGACAAGACCTTTGCAAAATTCTAGTGTAAAACTAGCCCAAATTTCTTGTAATTTGGCACGCAATTGATGTACGTTTCGTTGAGAATTGTTTCTTAAATTTTGTTTCATTTTGTGCCAAAGTGT